CATAAATTATTCAAAAACCAAACTAATGACTAATCTTGTTATTAGTGGAAATGTCTCGGTAGACGGAGCAAATATAGAACAAGTATATTCATATAAATATCTGGGGCACGAAATAACAATTGGCCGCGATAACCAGACGCACGAGATACAAAGAAGAGTAGGACTAACATGGGCAGCATTCGGCAAACTAAGATATGTGTTAAAATCAGATCTACCAATGTGCTTAAAGAGGAAGGTGTTCCATCAGTGCGTTATGCCAGTACTTACATATGGCGCAGAGACACTACACTCCGTGTAGCCCAACGAGCTATGGAAAGAGCAATGCTTGGTGTATCTCTAAGAGACAAGATATCCAGTACAGTTATAAAACAGCGTACACGAATAACAGATGCTATATATCTGCTTAAAAAACTCAAATGGAACTGGGCTGGGCATATTGCCAGAAGAACGGATGATAGATAGACCAAGCTAATACTAAAATGGCGGCCAAGACAAGATGCTCTCAGAAACAGAGGCAGACCTCCGAGAAGATGGTCAGATGACTTGAGGAGATTTAGGGGAAACTGGATCCAAGTGGCACAGGACCGAAAAGAGTGGAAGGATTTGAGGGAGGCCTACGTCCAGCAGTGGACACTTCAGGCTGGTTGAAAAAAAAAATAGAAAATGAGACTCTGAACAGAATGACATATCATATTATGTCAACTTTTGACATTTTCGCATATGGTTTATTTGAAATTGTAACATGCGGTTCATAATGACAATTTGACTCGAAATACCAAGTGTTTGGTACCAAATTATTCGCCAAAAAATGAGATATAACTAAAAAAAACGATTTGGGCAGCTTTTAATCGGCCTGGATAAGACACGAAAAACATTAATCATCAAATCTCTTTTTCTCTTTGATTAAAAATTAGTGTTTTTAACACAGGCACTCTAGATTAAAATTTAAAATACGAACCTTTTTTAAGCAAAAATGTCAAAAGTTGACATTTGATATGTCATTCTATTCAGAGTGTCATTTTCTATCGAATAAAGAAAAAATATACCGAATATCCGGTGAAATACATCAATCAATTCTAATTTATATCATATTATATCAATTCTCGTTTTTTTATCTGAAAATTAAAAAAATAAGTTATAGGGGTGAGCCACTTTTGAGACGCACCCGGTATTATGTATCCCTTCCATATCTCAGGTTCTAGTGGACCGATTTTGATGATCTTTTAAGCAATTTATAGCTAAATTAGTTGAATTTTTAGTATCTCTTTCTAAATTAAAAATGAAAGTTCCCATCTGTCAATGGGGAACTTACCTAAAAAATTAAATTAAGTTTTCTTTATTAGAAATTGTGGTGAACTAAAAAAAATGGACACGTGTTTTTTAATTTTTTCTAGTTCAATTATTTCGAAAGTTATAAGAGTTTGGGCAACGGCCCAGCTACGTCAAAACACCGGTTCCCATTAGAACACCGAAGTTAAGCGACGTAAGGCGATACTAGTGGATGGACGGGTGACCGGTTCAAAACTCTGTATCGTGCTGTTGTCAAAAAAAAAGGCAAAAGTGTAAAATCTATTGACACACACTGCTCATTCACGCCGGTTAGGGGCCAGATGAGATCGGATATCTCGTGAGTAAGAGTCGATTTAGACACTTGCCAAGTCGGTAGGCCATTGACCATGATATGGCCGAGGACCGTGGTTCGGATTCCGCGTAAACAAAGTAAACGTAAAAAATGTCTATATACTCTGTTTTTTTTCTCAGGTAAGATTTCGACAGACGATGACAGAAGAAAAGCAGATGACGTCCCATACCAATCTATTTATTTTACTAAAAAAAGTTTCTAATAATTTTTAAGTTAACTATGGATGGGTTTAAATATAAATTCATCATGCGTCGTCACTTGTTGTTTTTAACCAGTTTTATTGGTTTATTTCAAAAATGACAGATCGTATTTCAATTTTATTGGTTTGACGGAACGATGAACGACAAACGGACGCCGATGCGTATGAACTCGCCTTTAGATTTTTGACGTTTGTCAAAGTCTTGCCAAATTATAGGTTATAATTTTGTGACAACTCTTGTCAAATACCCTGCGTTTTGGAAGATGATGCATTTTGATTCGTGTTATTACGTGTGTTTTGTGTCTTTTGAAGTCAAGTGGAGGAAAAATCGAGTGAAAATTAACTGTAGAACCCACAGCACAGTTAATACTCGCTGCCCAGGCAGAAAGTCTTATACAGATACACCAATAAAGTTACTATCAATAAAGTTCGTATACCATCTCGTCGTAGATAAGTACATCTCGAATATGGTAGAAAGACCATAGTAAACACATACTAAAAACTGGAGTAGCTGTAAAATATCACACGATAGGTAAATAATGGATTTTAGTACTGCAGAAAAATACTGTCAAAAGGTACTGGTTTAAAAAAATTATCAAATGTTTTTGTTTGTTTTGTATTAAGGCATACCGTTTTTTATTAAATAAAATAACTCGATTACATTTTTTCAGTTTTATACAGTTTTTTTTACAATATTTTGAAGTTACTTGTCAGTCAAATTTTAAATACCTACATACAGCCTACATATTATATTAATTTCCTGCTATGCGTTCCAGCTGTACCAACTTATTTCTTTGTAAAATAAAATAAACTACTTTGAAATTAAAATGACAGACACATCTATCACTGTCAAGGATCTTCTCGTTGGACAGACTTATATAGTCTGTGAAACGAATAACTTTGAATTTGACAGTTTCCGCGGGCTTTTCTAGTGTTAATTTTATTAGGTTAGCAAAGGGTTAGCAACTTGCGGCCATGCTGACGCAATGCCGTCTCTAATAGGACAGCCTAGGAGCGAGATTTATTACGTCATGCTAGTTAGATACTACTGATTAATAAATATGTTGTAGAATACATAGAAAAGATAATTATTCCGCGCATTTTTGGTTTGTATTTTAAAAATGATATAGTTTACATGAAATATACATAATATACAGTTAATAAATACAACGAACTATAATATACAGTTAATAATATTATGAGCCATACAAATGCAGCAAATGTTTTACAATATACAAATAATGAATAGGTACATAAGATATCTACATTGACTATTGCTGAAATCGTACTCCATAGTCAATGTTGATAGTTTTAGTGTTAAGAACAATAATTTTAAAAAATATGTGGTCATCTTTTGACAAGTTTATATTAGTTTATTAATTGCAGTAAACATTATGTGGTGTGTGGTGTGAATATTTTATATGTAATTTTTTGGATTATATTCGACACTATTTTTTTCATATGACACAACACTGATGTAGGCTATAATGTTAACCGAAAGGTTTAGCCCAAACCAAATAAAAATAATGAAAAACCAAATGAAAACTTAATCAGCGTTTTTCCCGAAATCCCAAGAAAATCAAAAATTTTAAAATAATTTTACATATTATAAAATGATCTCAGCGATCTTTATTTCATAGCCTTTTTTCTATAACTTTTGAAAATTGATACTTGCAAAATATACATATAAATTTTGTGAATGCAAATAATAATACATCACTATTAGTAGATATTGAATGTTTTTTGTTAAATTAGATCGATTTTCAAACCACAAAATTTAAAATATATTTTACATTTTACCCATTATCCTAGGTACCTATTCATTATTTGTATATTGTAGAACATTTGCTGCATTTGTATGGTTTATTTGCCAAAGTATTTATTACTATAAATAGGTGTATATATTGTATTTATTAACTGTATATTATGTATATTTCATGTAAACTATATCATTTTTAAAATACAAACCAAAATTACGAGGAAGAATTATGTTTTCGATGTAGTCTACAACATATTTTTTAATCCGTAGTATCTAACTAGTGTGACGTCATAAATCTCACTCCAAGCCTGTCCTATTAGAGACGGCATTGGTCTGATATTTAGAAATGTCAAAAAATTATGACATTTCGTGTTGATTTTTGTAAGAAGAGGAAGAACTGTCACTTGTTTTATTATTTTCCTTTTCTATTTCACGAAAGTAAAAAGAGTTACCTATCTGATCCGTTCAGGCACTCAATTTAAAGAATATCAGTAACTTTTTTGAAAGAGGGATTTTATATTTGCCATGTTGGTAAAAAATAACGGTCAAAATTCGAAGTTATTCATTTTATAGACTATACCTATGTGGCGGATTCATCTATCCAAAAAAATCCTTATTCCATAAAGGATTTTTTTGGATAAAAGTAGACGTCATGCACCACGCTTGAGCAACTTTTTCAAAACGATATATTTCCGTCAATATTCAACGTAGAACGGTGAAATTTATTAACCTCCTCATCAATCCAAATTACCCAAACTACCTTACAAAAAAATAATTTATGTTACTTATTTGACGAAAAATAAAAAAAAATAATTTTAAAATCTATTAATTTATATGGATGTATAAATATGTCAAAATTACCATTTTTCATAATTTTTTCGAACCAATAAATTATGAACAGGAATGAAACTCATTAAAATTAAGCCTTTATTCAATATACAGGGTGTCCCAATATTCCGTGGACATATAACTACTACGTATTTTTTGAATCAAAATAAGTTCATTGGACACAATTTCCCTCTATGCAAAAAGTGCTTTGTTTGTCCGCTAGAGGGCATCAAACTTTTTTCTGATATTTTAAGAACCGTTATTCCGATTTGAATGAGGTTTTGGGTGTCTATGTTTTGCTAAGATGCTCTAATATTTGACTTACACAAAAATTAAGAAAAAGTACGGGAAGGGTGAAAACTACCCCCACCCCTACATAAATTTTGGTTTCAATACACCGTAAAAAAATTTCAAAGGAATGAACCTGCGGTACTAAAAAATTTCTGAAATTTTCCCAAAAAATTTCAAAAATTTTCTTTACAAAAAACTCATAGACTTGCTTCTGTAGTAGAAATATACTGGCACTTATTTCAGAAACACCCTGTATATATTTCTATAATAAACTAACATACCTGAAGGTTTTATCTTTATAAAAACAGTGTTGTCAGGCTTTGCAATCTCAACTACAGTCGAATTTTCATAAATATCCTAAAAATATAAAAAAATTATTTAACAATAAGTATACTCTATTATACGAAAATAAGCTATTATTTTGTTCTGTAGTTGGAAAATAATACAAAACCAAGTAAAATATTAAAATTTATGCCTTTTTTACTTTGTATAGGGGTCAAATCGGGTCGATACGACGTACCTTGATAATGTATCCGCTTTTGTTGTCCAGGTTTAGATCAGATAAGGTAAAGTTGAGCCTGTATGGATAACCGTCCACTCTGTGGCTTAGAAGACCGATAGCTATGCTGGTTTGGTTGTCGATGACTGGATTGATTGGTTTGGTCCATATGTCAATTTTATCTTTCTGGAAAGAAAGTTAATTTTGTATTATACCGTATGGTGGAACCATTGGAGCCAAAAAAAAATGAAATTTAGTGTTAGAATCTCATCCCCATTCGTTAATTTTTAAAGATATATTTTATTTTCGGTTGAATAATTGGAAAAATATAAATTACTACCCATTCTGAATTATTAATATGGTTAATTATCGCTATATTCTAAAATACCGAAATAAAAATGTCAAAATGCAAAAAAGAACAGGGGAAAAACCAGGGATGTCCAATTAGAGGTTGTATAAAACCTAAATCTAAATTATTTATTTTTGTTGTAGGAAGAAAATGAATATTTAAGTAGGTTTTTTATTAGAATACATAAATTTACTCCATGTAATTGCAAGATGCATGCTTGTCTTTTTGCCATTTACGCGTAGACTACTCTGGTTTTATCCCTGGTACGGCAATAGTTATTTTTTATACAAGACGATAAAATGGTATTTTATCGTCGACAAGATTAAATTCACGAGCGATGAAATCGCGAGTGAATTAATTTCGGGAAACGATAATGCAATTTTATCGTCGTGTATAAAACAATATTTTTTTCCATAGCGAGTTACGTTTTAAAAAATATTCAGAAATTATTATTTCAAAGAACTTATTACGAGTAGAAAAAATATTGTGCTGGGCTGGCGTTGGTTTCTATGTAATTTGACAAATAAATAAAGCTGTCTCTTTAGTTGTCAGTTTTGAGTCGATATTTTCTAATTCTCTTTCGTGTCGATTGCTGATTGAATTGGAGCCAGAAATGGCTCAAAACGAAATAAGTAAATTACCAACAGATATTCAGGCTGAGGCGACAAACGCCATATCCAAACTACGTCTATTTAAATCCCGAATTACTTATGAAAAGGAATACAAAAATTTTCAAAAATGGAAGCAATTAAAAAACGTGCCAGAAGAAATAAAGTTTTTAACCTATCCTCGCTATTAAATTAAAGTATCATTTCATCTACCCTTGCGGTTAAAGTACTATTTTATCTACTATTTTTGATAGATAAGGCAATTTTAACAGTTGCTATGGAAAAAAATAACCAAGCTGTAATATCTCTGGGACTAAGCGTATTATTAGTTTAATTGGTGCCTCGAATAACGCTAACATTTGCCTGTAAAGTTGTATCGCTATCTTAATTTCTATGAAAATGTGACATATCTGTTTTTTCCCGTGTAATCTTAATATTATCACCACAGATGATTTTATTATACAAAAGTTGTATTAAACTTTTTTGAAGAGGCGTTAAAATTCTACTTTTGTCTAGAATTAATTAATTCAACAAAGGGAATATAAGTAATATAATATAAATAAGAATACAGGCATACCTAATATAACAAGACCAAAACCGGAGTTTTATTTAGAAATAACTATACCGGGTGTGTCTCAAAAATGGCGCACCCCTATAACTTTTTATTTTTTGAGATAAAAAAAATCGAGATTCAGACTAATAGGATATAATTTTCATGTATTCCTCTTTCACCAGTAATGAGAACAACTTTTGATTTTTGAATGGTACCCTAGGTATTTGCCACTTTTGAAAAACACCCGGTATTTAATATTAATAAATCTTACCGTAAGGACTAGTTTCCCTTGTATTCCCTTGGGATCTTGATTGATCTTGATTACATCTTTATTGAGCAGTATATCTCTAAATTTAGGTTCTATAGTTCTCAAATCAACAGACATAATCAAGGGGGCCGCCATGATAGCCCAAATGGCCATTTGAGCCTTAGCTTGCTCGTAACTCAATCCATAATTTCCAATAATTAACTGTAAAATCAAAATGTTAAAAAACACAAAATATACACCCAATGATGTGTAAAAAACGAGGGGTGTCTCACTATTGGAATTACATGTACATTTTCTTGGCAGTCGCTGGCAGTCATTGGCAGTCTTATGGCAGTCGTCTTTAATAATTACATTGCAGTCATAGGCAGTCTTCTTCATAGTCATTGGCAGTCGCTTAGCAGTGGAAGGATATTTTGGCAGTACGTGTACATTTTTTACCCGAGTGAGACACCCCTCGGTAAAAAAGCATGTGTTTCTCGGCACGAAGAACGCGGGCACCATAAAATTTTGATTATTTTAAAGTTTTTTATATTTTGTTCTATTGATTCTGATGATTTTTAGTGAACAGCAAACTGCAGGAGAGGGGTTTGGGCATTAGATACAGATACGACGGCGGTTTGTTCAACATAACAAGACTCAGGGCAAAAACACGTACAAAATTCATCACAGAACTTCAATACGCTGATGACTGTGCTCTAGTTGCAAATACGTTACAGCAATTGCAAGAAATGTTGAACACATATACATGGGCATACGAGGCCTTGGGACTTAAGCTGAACATCGATAAAACTAAAATCATGTGCACTCCCCCGAAGATCACAACAATGCTATAAAAATCGGAGATGAGCTGTTGGAATATGTAGCGGAATTCAATTACCTCGGCAGTTTGATTTCGGAAAAGGCCAATATCGACTCTGAAATTCAGCACAGGATTAGCAGCGCCTCAAGAGCATTCTGGAAATTAAAAGACAGGGTTTTCTACAATCATGACTTGAGCACAAAAACGAAACTTGCGGTGTACCGAGCGATAATAATTCCCACCATGTTATATGGAAGCGAAACCTGGGTGCCTTACCGTCGACACATGAACGCATTAAACAAGTTGCAACAGAGACATCTTAGACAACTCTTAAGAATAAAATGGTTCCATCATGTCTCAAACGTATCAGTCCTTGAAAAAGCTAACTGCGAGAGTATTGAAGTCATGATTACAAAGTCCCGCTTAAGATGGGCTGGTCACGTATGCAGAATGCAAGAAAACCGCATACCAAAATCTCTGCTTTACGGTGAGCTTGTAGACGGTAAGAGGAGGCCGGGTGGACAACTCAAAAGGTTCAAGGATATTTTCCACGAAAACTTAAAGGGAATTAACAAGCAGAATGAGTAGGAAGAGGCAGCTCACAATAGAACGGAATGGAGAAGAATTGTAAAGTCAGTTAAGAGCGACAACCAAAAAGTAAAGAGGCAACAAAGCAATGAGATTTTTCAGTCACAGGAAAGCTCATGAAAGAAAACGCCTTGCGTGACCATCTTCTGATGCGTGTCAAATACTCGTCAGCGAGTAATGGCGGTATGGTATGGTATGATGATTTTTTAAGTAATTTGTAGCCAAATTATTTGACTTTTTAGTATCTCTTTCTAAATTAAAAATGAAAGTTTATATCTGTCTATTAAACGAGGGGAAACAAAATGTTGATAATTCGGTAAAAGTTTGAAATACCCTGTGGAATATGTTAAGAATGCAAGGAATTTAAAAATAATTTTATCATCTAGTTACATCTTTTCACGATAGTTGTTTTTTTTTGTTCATCTCAATAGCTTATTTTTTGGAGATATTCGCTTTTGAAAAGACACTTACTTTTTTCGTAATTTTTCACATTTAGTGGTAACCCAGAGCCTATACAGGCCGAGGTTCAACAAATTAGAGACAAGCTGAAATTTTGCATGGAGCTTCATTTTGTAGATCTTTAAACATACTAAAACCCCAGTAATGAACCGTTCAGCCCGTCACCCCAAAACCACCCATACAAGGGGTAAAAATGGCCCTTTTTTTAATTTTTCTTCAATAACTCTAAAACTACGAATTTTAGGAAAAAAAGTCACGAGTAAAAAATTGAAGAGAAGAAAATTTCCTACCACATAGGTAAAGAACCATAATTTTTAGAATTTCAGTGGCGCAGGTGCGGATTTTTTAATTTAGGAGGATTGTTTTAATAACCCACCATTCTATGTTTAACTTCAAATGAAAGCATTTTTGAGATAAATCTCCAGACTAAAAAATTTATTAGGATACAAGTTCTTATAAAAACGATCTTTTTAATAAAGGTAAGTTACCAGTGGCGGGGATAATTTTTTTAAATGTGCGTTTTTTACATTTTAAAAACATTGAATAAGAAAAATTGCAATTTTACCAATAATTTCCCATGAAAAAGTATATTGAAAAATTTACACGTTTAATAACAAAATAAGAAAAACCTTAGCTCAAAAATAGGATAACTTATCTTAAGGATAGTCCTCATTCACTTCCACATTTGTTGGGTTCATACATGTAATGCCATTGCATTGACCACATGCCATAGTGCAGGTGAGTCCCATTCGATTGCATGTACATGCTTTTTTACAGCCTCCCGAAGAGCAATTGCAAATTTTATATTGCATTTTTTCTCTAAAACCCATGTAGGAGCAATAGGCATAGATAAATGAAACAAGTTTAGATTGGAAAGTGCCCATAAGGACAATGTAAACACTATTTGGCGCTATTCTTGCAACGGTCGCGACCCAAAACTTTTGAAAATTTTGGAGCGGTTCGGCTTTTTCCGGAATTATATCGCCAAATATTGTTTATTCAAATTTATTATTATTTTCGTTTAATTTTATAAATAAAAGACATTGTGTTGCATACAAGAAACTTGACGCATGTATGAAATACCTATGAAACATTGGAAACCGACGTTACGCCACGATCCACGATGGTTTTTGGAGTTCACAGCACAGCTTTTTAAGTTTTTAATGCCACTTTTTCACAATTATCACCGGTTGGAGTAAATAAAACTTGAATTAAACTCACAAGATAGCAATTATTACTTTGAAAATGGACGCTATATAAACACTTTTCGGAATTTCTTTAATGAGAGCGGTTTGGATTTTGAAAGATTTATGATTTTTGAAGATTCTGACTTTGACAAGAGAAAATTATTTCTGTTTTTGTTTGCCGTTGTTCTTAGCGACCGCTATAGCAGCGCCAGATCGCGTATAACGGTCGCGACCCAAAATAATTTCGCAACCTAAAATTTTTACGGGCTTTCCAATCTAAACTTGTTGCATTTATCTATGGCAATAGGCTGGTCTGAATGTATTGGATTCATCTCTCGATTTTTCAGATTACAACCCCCATCTTGCGGTGGTAAATTGTTATTGCCTGTACCTGTAAGTTAAAAATGAGAATTTTGTTTAACATTTGAATGCAACATAAATTTAACTTACCTGACGAAAAAGTCCATGATGTTTCGCACTATTGGAGGTAGGTGGTAATGATACCAAGTTGAAGTTGGTATTAAGACTTCGTTTAGCTACGTACTGTTGATAAGGCATGTAACGTTTTTAGTTCGTTACATGTCTTTTTTATATATAATATATGATGTCTGGCCTATCATCACCGGATTCCCTATCGTTCAGGCCGGATAGTTTATTTGACGCGTAATTTTTACGTTCCCTAGTCGCCAACCCTGTTATCGTTCGACACAACCCTGTTATTGCTCTGAGGAGGCGCTGTCAACATCGCTTCTGTCAACTGTCTCCGTGCTTAACCTCACCAGGGTTGTCACAAGCTATACAATTGTGTATTTTGCTACACATTTGCTTCCATGACTGCACAGCTACACCACAATGGCCTGTGCTACACATTTTGAGAATTTACATATTTATTATAAAAAATAATACCAGAACAGTAAATCAGCTGACAAAAGCTGTTTTTTTTTGCTTTTAAGTTATCTAAGTTACATTAAAAGAGGCCGCAAGTGAACTTTAAATTTTGAAATAACAAATATCATTTTCGGCCATCTATTGGTCGAGTCAAAAACGGTAATTAGACAGGATTGTTTAATTCCTTAAATAATATATAACACGTACTTTGACCAAATTTCACTGTAGTTCGATCCACTCGTTGGCATATGTGAATAATATTCAATTCCTATTTCACTTTTCCTCCCATATCAGCAAGGACTGCAGTTTCTATGGACAAATTTGGCCGATTAAACAGTCCTGAATTGTTTACAGTTTATAAACAGACTTTTTAACCGGTCTAATTTTTCCATAAAATCGTTAGTTTCGCGACATCAATTTTGACGTCATTGCAATATTTGCTGGCATGAGAAGAAATGAAATGGGAAATGAATATATTGACGTATAGATACAAACGAGTGGAAGTGAGGCTCTTATCGAGACTCGTAATTATGCTTTAAAATTTGGCGATTTTACGTCTTATTCTTGGTCTTATTGGATAGTTTACAATTATTGGTCATGGATTGCTACACAATGCTACACATTTTTATGGTCAAGTTCTGCACAATCAAAAATTTTCTTGTGGCAACCCTGAACCTCACTTTGTTTTGACGCTCTGTTGTATCATAGTTGTATCCCAGCTTTTAGAAATGGTGATTATTTAAATCTTGCTGTATAATCTGAATCAGCTGCTATTTCAAAGCAACAGGTAAAGATGAAATATCATCCTTTTAGATTCGATATTATTATTGAATATTTTTAGGGTAGAGTTACGGATGTCCCAACTTGTATTTGTGTTTTGCTTGCACGTTGGCGTCCCTTTTCTTTTGTCCTCCAGAATGTCACATGGAAGAAAGGACATGTTGTTTATTATTTATTGAGCCCTCGGAAGTATTTCGAGGTAGGTTTATTTTGTTTATTAGACCTTGTTTGGTTTTAAACAAGAGTTTTATATTTTTAGGGTCCAAGGTACGGACTATTTCCAAGGTACGGACTGTGTCCAAGGTACGGACTGCGTCCAAGGTACGGACTGCGTCCAAGGTACGGACTGTGTCCAAGGTACGGACTGTGTCCAAGGTACGGACTGTGTCCAAGGTACGGGTAGTACGGGTAGTTTTATGTACGGACATTATCTTATGTACGGATGTCCTGTGGACGAGTGTCCCCAGTAAGAACGATTTTTTCTTACATATAAGTGCCAC